CTCATTTAAGAGTCCAATGTGGGATTAACTCTTGACCCTTCAAATCCTACAACCAACGTTTTACGTGCCCTTTTATGGCTAACTTTAACAATTTATTTCTCACTCACCGAAAATCAGTTTTGAGAAAATAAATATACCACGAGTATCTACTCGGAACGTATAATTTTTCTACAATATTTAATTCAACTAAAATTAAATATTTAGCCATCAAAAATTCAGTCAAAACCGGGTCAAACCCAAGTTTTACAACTGATTTTTCCAACAAATATAAATATGATTTTTAGTTAATTTGACCATTTCTCAGTTAATCATCAGTACTTTCACTCTTATATTATAATATGGTCGGTCTATATATGTTGTCTCTTATTCGTTTACAGGCGCTATGCTCTGTTAATATCCACCCATAATTTATTTGGCTCAATATATATTGTGTTTTGTTTTTTCGGGAAGGATTAGTGTACTAATTGTGTTAATTTGTCTCATCATGTCGTCGTTGATAGAAGATAGAGAGCACAATTAAACATGCACATATATGTGAAAATTAATTACACTATTATAATTTATTTGATTCAGTATTTTTGTGTATGATTAAATTTGTGCTCTCTAATCTTCTGCCAACCAATCATGGATCCATCTCAATTGGCGCTCTTCTTCACCCATAATTATTTGCCTCAATCATCTCAATAATAATCAAGGTACGTATATATCATGTTAATTAATAAGGTTTTATATATTTTATTTATTTTGGTTGGCTCTTTTGATTTCGAAAATTAATGCTTTCTATCTTTTTAATTGCCATGATGGCCAGGAGATGTTAGCAAAACCATGCATGCTGCTTCATGGATTGAAAAAGCTCATAGAATTAATGGCAAGTTTGTAATCATCAGTGACTTAAAATATAGATTATTGTTTGTAATTGATATTGTTACATGCATGCATCAATTAACTTATTGTAACATCCCACTCGAAAAAAAACTTGAGCATTAGGTTGGTGGTCTTCGCTCGCGCGTCGCGCCGCTACAAGGATTAAGCTTTCCTGTTATTTTTATAATAAGTGAGCTTTTGGGATGTGATAGAGGAGGCGAATTTGCAAGTTTTGCCCACTTATTGTGGATTATTTGGAATGATCGGAATCGTATTGATTAAACAAGGCTTGCAAGGTAGATCGGTGGAGCAAGTTTGGACTGTAGCAATGGCATGGCAAGAGGAGGCACACAAAGCGAAATCGGGGCATCTTGGTTTAGATCGTAATTTTGTTCCCGGTAGCTATTGATAGTTGGGTTGGCCCAGGCAGTTGTCATAATGGTTTCACCTTATTTTGCGATGGTTCATTTGCACTGCTGCCGCAGCCGAGGCCTTTGCCTTAAAGTGCGTTGTAAAATGGGGCTGGCAATTTCTGCTTGAAATTGCATAGTATTAATTAGCTGAGGGCTTCACTACTGTATGTTTTTGCTACCCAGCAATTTTAAATGTTTGGCTGAGGTGCTGCTGTCTCCACTGTAAATCATTAGAGAATAGTTTCTCATATATAATAGTTAGTATTCCTGCTGAATATTGGACTACGTACACAGAAGAATCACTGATAGATGAGTTGTTCTTCTATAGCTAATAATAAACAGATAAATTGAAAAAAAAAAAAAAAATTGAGGAAAACTCTCTTCTCTCCCTCTCTCTGTGTGTTGGTTGTCCTAAACCTAAAGCCCATTTAGTGAGGATTGCTTTCAAGTGTCCAAATTAGAGAGATTCAAGCATCATTCATTTCTGCTTAGCCTTGTGTGGCATTCAGTCAATTTACACGAGTATCTTGTAGTTGCACTGTGGTACTATGCAGCTAGTTCTTGAGAAGAGGGGTTTGGGTGGAGCAATGTAGACCGGTCTTGGTTAATTCAGGCCCAATGGACCGAACTTGTCCTGAGACCCTAAACCATGATGAAGGCCCAATTTCATCTCCCGTCTCCATGTGAGTCCACACTTTTATATTAGACAAACTAGACAAATAGTCTCTTTACAAATTTTATTTTGGGTTTATTTAGATAATGGGAAAAAATAATAGTAAACATAAAATTTACTCCTTATTTAGTGAAAGATAGATCCTAATAATCAAGAATGCTCGTATGCTTCATATTTTACGAATTTTTTATATGAAAAAAAAATAGTGATGATATCATAACAAATAATGATAATACAAATTATTTTATCTAAAAACAAAAACAAAAAGAGTACACACCTAAGACAGACAATGAAACATAAAAAGTGAGGTATTACTATTATTATACTTGAGACAGAACATAATAATGTACCATTTCAATCCAAAAACTTCAATTAAAATAATTTGACCCCTAACAAATCTAAAATGAGTTGTTTTAATTTATCAAGTGTCAACCCCTACAAAACGACTGGTATTAGTCAAATCACAACAGCTGAGAAAAGCCAAAAACCAAGCACCATATTATAATTGTGAATTACTACTTCAAAAAAAAAAAACAGTGATTAATTAGGCTTTTTAAAGAGT